TCACTTACTTCATTCATTCAGATTTTCATCCCTTTATCCATGCCAACACACATAACTCACCGCACTTTGAGCAGACTGCCCTGGCTTGATATACTCAAGAAATGGAAGCCTCCGAGGGGTCTCGATAAGGTATTCTTTTTCGTCTCAGGATATTGCCACCTGTTCAGGGTATACCACCTCAATTTTACCCCGGTGACTGCACACACTCAGCGGCCGGGAGGAATCCCTCTCGGCCGGTGATAGTATACACTCTCAACGGCAGAGAGGGATTCCTCTTGGCCGCTGAGAGTCTGGCGCCAACTAACAACCTCCCTGGGGGTTTTTGAAGATAAACTCCCAAAAACCCCCGGGGTTTTTCATTTTTTTATCTTTTATTTTTATTTTTTCTTCGGAGGATCGACTCCCAAACCTGTTGAGGGTTTGGGAGGATCGACTCCCAAACCTGTTGAAGGTTTGGGAGGTCCAACTCCCATCTCCGGTGGTGGACGGCCTGCGGACCGTCCGCAGGGGGTCTTAGCGACGTCCCAAATATTTGGGAGTCGGAACTCCAATATTTGGGAGTCGTTTAACTAAGACCCTTATTTTATTTTCTTATTATTTCTCATCCCATCTGAATTTTATCTTTATTTTATCATTTTATCATTATGTATTATCGTTTTCAGATCGCTTATCTCACTCTTGATTGTTATGTTCTGTTTTATGTTGTGCCGTCCTGTATCGTCCCAGTGATTGTGTTGTGTTGTGTTGTGTTGTGTTGTGTTGTGTTGTGTTGTGTTGTGTTGTGTTGTGTTGTGTTGTGTTGTGTTATGTTGTGTTGTGTTGTGTTGTGTTGTGTTATGTGGTCTAGTTTTTGTTTTTTGGTGAGTTGTGTTGTAGTTAGGGATTTGATGAAATGTCTGTGACATGTCACTCCCCAGAGTGAAAGTTCAGTTTGAACTGAGGTGATGGGGAAGCATGGCACTCTGATCTGATCCAAGATATACCCATCAAATTTTACTGATCTCTTTATCATTGATTCATCTGATCCTCATACACATCTTCAAAGATCCTCAACCTCAACAAACGCCACAGAAATCAACTTCTGGTGTCCCCTCTCAGAAAACCAACCAACCCCAACACGTTTGTTCAGACCTCAGCTCCACTCATCCAGACCCCACTTGAAGGCAGCCCTCAAAGCACTATCCCTTCAACCAACTGCCTACTGCCTGGCACAATAGGAGTTCCACACCGCTGGTGTTCTAAACTCAATGATGTGCTTGGATTACAAAACACAATAGACATTGTGAAAGGTACCCTTCCTTGCCCAAAGGATGACAGTAAAATCAATGGCACTGCTGTTAATCGCTCCCCAACTGACTCCTCCCCAAGTTACTATCCAAAAGATATTGTGGCCGACTGGGATGCACTATTGGAGATGGCCTTCTCAACCATACGTCTGACCTTGTCAAATCCTCTAGCTCAGCAATACTGCAAAGTGAAACTGGTGTCTTGACTCTACTCCACTATTGAAAATGTGTATGAAAAGAATATATGTGCTCGTTGCATTGGTTTACAAAAAGCCTTCTAAAATGCTCGCCATGATCCAAATGAGCCTATTGCTTTGTGGATTGGTTGTTGTGGAACTACTCAACCAGGGAGATAGAGCTTGGAGGGGATATAGACAACTACACTAGTACTAATGTAAGTTGAGACTACAGATGCTGATGAGGCTGCCCTCCTGTACAATGCTAATGGGAAGAGTGTAACACTAAGAAAAAGAAGAAGAGAGGTGTGGCTGATTTCTACTTTATCTTAGACTACTATTACTGATGGGCTTGTGTATGTAGTACCTACTGAGGTGTGAGGAGGAGGAGTAATGAAGTGTGAGGGATAATACTGGCAAAGGGTAACACTGGCAAAGAGGAATGGCACTGGCAAAGGGGATAATCTGGCAAATGAGGATTTATAACTGGCAAGGGGGGATGTATAACTGGCAAATATAACTGGCAACAATATCTGGTAAAGATATAAGGGTGATACTAGTATTTCTGATTTCTAAGACTATGGTTAGAAGATAATTCAGGCAGGGTACATAGCATACATAGCATCCCCGGGGAAAATACATGAAGAGGAAGAAAGAGTATATACGCCCCCCCACCGTTACATACAACAGCAAAGCACTAT